AATATATATATATATATATATATATATATATATATATATATATTGTGATTTTGTGATTTGACTCTAGACCTGCTGATTAAACACATTTAGAGCGTCAAACATTACATAACTTTAAAGAAAACCTTTATTTGACAAATATCTACTACACAGTTATGTAAAAAAAACATTTTTTTCCTACTTAAAAAAATAACAAAAATATGTGGGTTTTTTTTTTCATTTACAGTTAATTTATTGTGTGAATTGAAGAAAAAAAATCTTCATCACATGGTGTGGCACTTCCTGGGAAAAGTTTCCAGGGTCATGACCTGTTTATAAAATCCGTTTTCAAAGAAAATGTGTAACAAATACTCAAAACTGGCTGCTAGAAAGTTATGTTATCTCACTTAGCAAAATAAGGTTTATAAAAATATTTTTGTTCTAATTAGAGTTAATTTTGGGGGGAAATTCGGTGCAATTAGTCAGTGAAGTAAATGCTAAAACTAGTGGCAGCTGGTGGAGTTTTCTCCAGGGGGGCTATAAATTCAAAATGGACGTATACCAAAAACCATTAAATCACATACTAAGTTATCACACCAGTATATTTATATGAATGCCAACAAAAAAAAAAATTATAAAAACACATTATAAAACAAAACATAATTTCATGTACAGGTTTACCTTTTGTACATAAATCTTCCCGCCACTTGACCTGTGAATCACCTGCAACACGTCTGCTCTGTGGCGGGAGGTAGTGAGCAAATACTCTTCCTGTCAGCTCGGGGAGAACCAGAGCTGCACCCGAGCTCTCCTATCCTGTATTGCAGAGGAGGTACTGCATATGTACAACTTTTAACGAGAGTCAATAAGCAAAAGTTTTGCTCCCTAGGACGGAAATACGTCACCAATCAGTACTAGTCATTAAAGATTAAATATGTATCTTGCGCATCTAAAAAATACATATTAATAGATTTTGAAATATTTTAAATGTTCATTTAAAATTAATTTATAAAAACAAAATATATATATATTTTTTATATCTTAATCAGTGTCATTGGGTGGGTAGGGAACGTAGCGCCCTCTATTGGCCATCTGCCACTGGCTAAAACATGCATTTCCTAGTATATCTATTGTTAAAAATACTAGCTTTCTCTTCATTATTTTAGCCGAATTGATGAAGAGCCATTGTGGAGTTCATAAGGAGCCACCTGTAGCTACAGAGCCATAGGTTGAAGACCCTTCTAAAAATCTGTATTCCACTAAAAGGCTGTGTGTCGACCCATTTTCAGTTTTCTGCTGAAGTAGTGCTAAAAGTTCAAACCTGACATAACCAGCTAAACTTAAACCATGGATAATGGCCATAAGTTGTTGAAGCACAAATATGTATTGACTTTTATTGCTGTGTTGCATTGAAACAAAAAAAAAAAAACTTAAAATGTATTTGATGTTTTTCTTCTTTTTTATTTATTTATTTATTTTTTTTTTTTTTATCGTAGATCAATTTTTCTCTTCCTTTGTCCTAAATGGGAAAAACAGGAAAACACTGCATTTGATCCGGGCCGATTTGGGCAAATTTTTACATGCCAAGAAAACAGCCACTCATCTAAAATTGACCAGATCTGTACACTGCAAAAACAATCTAAAATGTGTCGAAATGTCTTAAAATAAGTTTTTTCTCCTTAATTTGAGTAGCTGAATAAAACAGTCTGCCAATGAAATGAATAGTTTTACCCTTGAAGTAATATAATTTGATTTAAGCAGTTGTTCTTTCTTATTCTAAATGTAAATTGTCTCATTTCATTTGCAGTATCTCACTTACTTGCTTAATTCAAGAAGAAATGCACACATTTTAATAAAAACTGCATTAGATTACATTTTTTGCAGTGCAGTCTTCCCCATCCTTTCAATCTGGTTATGAAGTTCGCTAAACTCTACTTAGTATTTAACTTGAGCTGCTCCCTTGGCCTTTATGATTCTGTTGGATCTGTAATGCTGAGGGCCTACCGTATTTCCTTTCCAAAGGTCCTGATATCTGATTCAGAATAAATGCTATCATAAACCTCTGTTTAAAGCCAGATCCTACTGAATAAGAATTGGTGGCCTTTACTTGAAAACTAAAAAATAGTCCTTTTTCTCTGGGCTTTGTGGCAAGACAATCATCCACTCCAATGGCACACTCTGCACAGACACATCATCAGCCTTCAGCTGACATTAGAATAACTGTAGTTATAAATGTTTCTGCTTTCTTCTCTGTTTAGGTCGGCAGTGGTCCTGGGGTGGGGTTTAACGTGAACGTGGCCTTTACTGGTGGCCTGGACCCCCCCATGGGAGACGCAGAGTACCTGGCTGCCTTCAGGTAACGTTTAAACAAAAGCTAATGAATGGATTTGTATTGCATTATAATTAGGTGGGCTCTATCATTAAATTATATTCCAGTATTTACCATAACAAAATGTATTTAGTTTAACATAAGCTCTATCAAAGAGGTACCTCCCTGCCAAAATAAAATACTTCTTCCTTTACTGCCATTGATAATCCTGAACTGCTTTCTGTTTCGATTGTTGATCTGATTCATGCTAAAGAAGGAGCTGTTAAAACAGATAACCTTCCCTCCCTGCTCGCAGGTCAGTGGTGATGCCAATAGCTGACGAATTCGCTCCGGACATCGTGCTTGTCTCCTCTGGCTTCGACGCCGTGGAGGGACACCCCCCACCGCTGGGCGGCTACACCCTGACTTCCAAATGTGAGCAAAAAAGATTATCTGAGGAGTCTTTTTTTGTTTTTTATCTCACACACCAGCTGGACTATCAACACGACCTACTGAGCGATTACTCACAGCTGCAGTTGAAATAAAACTAAGTCCAATCAGGCGTCTAAAAAGAATTTATGGGGTGAAAATAGAACAAAATGTTAAAGGAATCATAATTTATGAGTGAGGAATTTAACTAGCTGGTTGTGCACTCAGGTTTTGGGCATCTGACCAGGCAGTTGATGACCCTCGCTGGAGGCCGGGTCGTGCTGGCGTTGGAGGGAGGACACGACCTCACCGCTATCTGCGACGCCTCGGAGGCCTGCGTAGCCGCCCTGCTCGGCCAAGAGGTGAGACATTCACTCTGACCCAGATTTAGTTTTTAAAACCTGTCTGTCTTGATGGATTGAAAGGAAATCACAAACATTTCAGAAATAACTGCTGGGAGTTTGCTTTTCATTTCCAGTGTGACCCTGTTGGGAACTGTACGGCTGGATGAAGCACGCTACCAGCTCATGTTTACATTCTCTGTGTGTTTTTGTCGCATGCAGCTGGATCCCCTTCCAAAGGCCGTCCTGGAGCAGAGGCCCAACCCCAACGCTGTGTGCTCTCTGGAGAAAGTTATAGAGACTCATAGTGAGTTTGCCCTGAGCTGCATTAACACACAGATGTTCCCTGAATGAATAACAGGGAGGACTCAGACGGTTCTCTGCTGCTGAGATACACAGTTCCCACACTCTATAGAGTTACAAACAAAAGATATGACATTTTTTGTTAGGATTTACAAGGTTCAGGTCAGAGATTGTGGAAAAACATTTGTGTCTTCAAATCCTATCCCTTTAATTATCCATCCATCCACTCTGTCTTTTGCAAATGTGATGTTTCCATATTTCTGACTGCATATTTAAATCATAGATGTAATCAATAATCTTTTTTGTTTTTCTTAATCCGTCTCTCTTTCCCTTTTAAAGGTAAATACTGGCGCTCAGTGCATCGCTACTCATCGAGGCTGGGCCTTTCTCTACTGGAGGCCAAGCGAGGTGACTCGGAGGAGGCTGAGGCCGTCAGCGCCATGGCATCTCTGTCCGTTGCAAACAGCAACGCGATGGAGCAAAGGTAAAGTAGCCCAGATCACTTAAGAACTCTATAGAAAATGTTACAGAAAAATAAAACCCTGCAATTATGTTTAATTTTTGCTTTGAAATTACATGATTGCATGATTATATTCGTCCTGTTGGTATTTAATCAGTAGCATTTGATTAAGGGTTTTTTCAGCCAAACCTTTAATGCAGACATCCTCCTCTGCAATGATTGTGCAAAAGCTTTCAAATGTCATGTTTTATTAATATAATGTTATCTTATACTCAAAAAAGGGGGTTGAAATACACTCTTTAAATAAAATTTACTGAAATTTATCCAAAGGCAAAATAGTTTTTGATTTAAAAAGATACAATTTCTTGCAGTTGTTTGCACTCTTAATATTTCCTATAAAAAGAAAATAGGACATTTTAATGATGGATTAAAACATCAGCCATATGTGACTAGTGCCAGATTGTAAAAATCAAGGAAATAATTTCTGGAAAACCTGTCTGACAACGTTAACTAGGCTATAAGATTTAAAAAAGTAAAACATTGCGTCTTTATCTAAAGAAATTCTAGAATTAATTGTAAGCTGATAAGGTTAACATTAGCATTTATTGGTTTTTGGGTCTTATCTTGTCCAAGCATTGAAGAAGAGGCTGTAATTCTCCTAAAAAAAAAAATGAAAATAAAAAAATAATATATATGACTGTTGATTGTTGTGCTAAAATGTTTTGTTGTGGCACATAAAGAACATGTCATCATCTGCATATAGGCGTGGCAAATGATTTAACCAGTGCTTTCTTGTCCAAGTACAGCAGTAGAAGATATAATTCTCCTAAAAAAATACGTTTGTTACGGGGAAAAATGTTTGCCTGTGTATAGAATTAAAGAAGAGTATGAGATCATCCGTATATAGGCGTAAGTGATGACTTAACCAGTGATATATGTATTATATATATGTATATATGCGTGTAAATATAAACTTTAGGACAACTAAAGCTTCCTCTGCCCGTGGTTATGTCATCAGTTACGCCTATATGCAGATGATCGTTTGTTCTTCATTAATTCTAAGCTAAAATGTGACGGATTATTGTCATCAGTAAAACATCTTACATGGTATATAAAGAACAGTAGATCATCTGCATATAAGAGTAGCTGATGACTTAACCGCCGTTTTCTTGTCCAAATCAGGCAGATGAAGCTGTATCAGAAGGTTATGGGAAACATTTTTAGATCTTTGCCTGTATATAAGGTTAATGAGGAAGATGAGATCATCCGCATATAAGCGTAGCTGCTGATTTAACCAGAGTTGTTTTTCCTTTCGCAACAGGACAGAGGAGGAGCCCATGGAGGAGGAGGCTCCACTGTAACTGAGGCAGGCGTGAGGGTGTCGCAGTGTTGCCATTGACCTCTCCGGAGAAGAGCCTCAACTGACCCCTTCATTTAGTCCCCCCAACCTCCACTCACCACGTCAGTCACCTTGATTGGCGGCCCCTCGGTCTAAAAACGAGGGAGAGGGGACGGGCTTAGCCTCAGAGTAGGGAGCCAATCAGAAGACAGAGGACTGAACTTGGGGGTGAAAAAAAAATAACAAAACTTAACGACGTTGCTAAGCAGCAGTCGTTCGGAGACATTCATTGTTTTTTTTTTTCTGTCAGTCTTTGCACCTTCGCGTTAGCCCGCAGCAGCTGAGTGTGCGAACACAGCAGCCGGCAGGTCTGTATGCAGCCGGGAAAGGGTGGAATCTGGTCACAGAAAGGAAGATGCGCTGAAATAACCGGTGCTTGACGCTAAAGCCCCCTCTGACCGCATTCAGTGGAGACACCAGGGACAGTGGACATTCCCTGCTGCCCTAAAGCAGCTTGGGTACCTTTTCTCTTCTCTTAACTTCAGTTCCCTCTAAACGGGGAACGCCGCGGCATCCGGGTGGATTCTTTTTTTTATTTTTAAACGTGCCGCGCTCACTGTGGATTCCTGTGATGCCGTAGTTCAAGGAGGCTTTCGCAAAGATTTCGACGGCTAAGACTGGCGCCACGCTGGAGAGGCCTGCCGTCGAAAGCTGATGAGTAAGAGGAGTGCCTTGGAGAGGGTCCGCCTGTTTTCAGGATTGTTCAGGAAAAAGGTTGCCTTAACTTTAACCATTTTTCTCACCGAGGAATTGGAGGAAGCAGACGGGGGAAGAAGGGGAATGACTAAAAAATCTAACAATCTTTCAGCATGTTTACTTAGAAAGTAATGGAGACAGCGTTTATGTCTCTCATGGCTTCTCTTGAAGAGTTACTTTACTTTTTGATGGATCTATTTTTCTGTACAAAAGTTTTTAAAAAAAAAGATAGAGAAAGATCGGTTTGTAAAAGGTAGTTGCCAGCTTCTTTAGACAAAAGGTGCAAACACTGAGAAAGGAATCAGACCGCCTACTCTCAAAACAGTTTAGCCTTTGATGTAGCCTCCCTTTAAGAGTCATCGCTTTTTGCAGATAAATCGCAGAGCATGCATCTAAGCAGATTTAACGAATGTTGTCCAAAAGAGAAAGCAGAGCAAAAAAAAAGCCAAAGCATGAGTTTGCATTTTTACAGTTTCACTCCTCTTGGCTGGAGGGGGGTGAGTCAACAAACACTTGATATATTTGGCCTTTAACCCTCTATGGTATGCATTATAAGGCCAGTAAGGAAAAAACTCTGCAGCTTTTTTGTCTCCAAATAGACAATAAACCATTTAAGGATATGTGACAAGTTCTTTTAAATCTCTTTTTAAGGATTTCTTAACCACATTGCCTCACAGTGGGACAGCCCATCACGGTAATTTGTGAAAAGCAATCATAATTTAGTTTATTTAAGAAAATTTTATTTATTAGAGCTTTCAACCATTACAAAACAGAATGGGACCTCGGATAAAATAAATGTCAGAACGTTTTAACCCTCTCAGGCTCAAATTAAGTTGTTGTTGCAGGAAAAATCTGATATTTGGAGAAAATGATCATATGGGGTAGTAATATACAATTCAGATTTTTTTTTTTTTGAGAGAGAGAGACCTTCACATGCAATGAATTCTGGGATGTTGCAGATTTGCAACAGTGGCCCGGAGTAGTAAATTAACACTGAAGACTGAATATGATATGAACGTTAACTTTATTTGAATGTCACAAACAAAAAATCAACAGAACAAAATTCGAAAAAAAAACTTTTTTCTCAAACTTTTTTTCCACCGACATCTCAAAACCTCTTGAGAAGGCCGTTTCTGTTAAACTGTTGCTCAAAATATAGGCAAACTAATAGATAAAGCATGTAGCATCAATTGGTACCTGTTTGGGCACACGTTGCGAATTTACAACATTGAAATCGAGGTGCCTCTGGTGAAAAACCCAGAGGAGATAAAATCTACTAATTGGCATGTGTCATATCTATACACATTCATGATTCATCTTATGTAGTATTGATTTCAAAATAATGGACATTGGTAGTGATACTTACATGAAATTAGTGCTTAGAAAATCTGTTTCAGTGACACCAAGAACTCAGCCATGTTGAAAGTGAGTCAGCAGTGCTATCTGGTGAGCTGGAGAGAAACTGTTTGTTGCAAATGCACAACTAAGTCCTTCTGTTGTACTTGTGAGTAACAAAAGCTCTTAAAATATGGATGTGGAGTAATTAGCTAAGTGGCATTTAGCTGTTGCAAATCTGCAACATCTGCCTGGAGAGGGTTAAAAGGCTGTTTATTACTACACAAAAACATGTATCTTAGTCACCTTTATTGATTTGAAACGGACAAAGCTATGGACAACTCATAGATAAAGCTCCTGCTCCACCCCTTCTTATGCCGCCCTGAGCAACCGCCTATTTCAAAAGCCGCCACAGAGTTTTGGAGTTCTAATCGGCCAAAATGGTATCATAGAGGGTAAAAAAAAATACCCAGTTTGTTTACTGATTTAATCCCCCTCAGATCAGGTTAGCATTTCTTTACACATGCTAATCGAACGGTTGGCAACTACCTTAGCGCGAGCTTCACATCAGTCGTGTATATTTAATTGAATATATTTTGACAGTAATCCAAGTATTGTCAGTTTGTATCTACGTGTATGAGTTCCCACGTCGGGTCGTTCATTTACGGTATCAAACGTGTTTGGTTGAGCGTGTCCAGTTTTTATTTTGTATCGTACAAGATTATTTTTCTAACGTTCCGTTTTTCATTCATAGATTTGGTTCTGTGTTTTGTTTTTTTTATCCATTTTTTTCTGGATAGATATAGGGCTGCATTCATGTACTTTTCTAGTGCTGTTGTCGTTTATTCTTTCTTGTATTTATGGAAAAACAAGGAGCAACACTTTCTTTCTTTCTTTCTTTCTACGGCTCCCGAAGCCTTTTCAGCATTTTCATCAACTATGTATTTATAACATGTACTGTTTATAGGAGATTTGTATATGGAAACTTTATAAATGTACTCTTACCTAATGACAGCTATGATATTGTGAGCAAAAAACAAGTACGGTGTATAAACAGCGTATTTAACTCGTCATTGACTGCACTGTTTTTCAAGCGGCCCTCCACCGTATCGCTGCATAACAACTGCAGTGGAATTCATCACTTTGTTGCCTGATTGGTTCATCCTCCTCCTGCGCACGGACGACCTTCGTTTTAACTATCGACTGTGATCATGTTGTCCGTGAAGAGGTTTCGAGGCCGTTTTTACGTAGCTGGCTGAGCTACCTGCAGCGAAAAGCGGCCGTGAAGGACAAACCAACTTACTACAGTTTAAGCCAGATGTTTACATACACTGGATAAAAGGACTAAGCATCAATTTTTTCACTCTGACATTCATTCAGACATTTTATTTTTCCTCTTTCAGTCAAATTAGGCAGACTAACATTTTTTTTTATTTGCTAAATGCCAGAATTATAGATTTATTTTTAAGAATTCAAAATACCAATATGTAAAGGGTTTGAATTGGATGAAACATTCTGATTTTCCTCCTCCGGCTTTAGTTTTTTTACTCAATCCTCCCATTAAAATGGGTGTAAAGGGTTCAGGTTTGTGACCGGAACTGAGTTAAGGGCCTTGAGGTCACCTCTTTGTTACACTTACTTTATTTTCCACCATAATTTGGGTCATTATCAATTTAAAAATCCTATTTTCTTTAAGCTTTGGCTCCTGTTTTATCATAACACTAGAGTCCCGCCCCCATGCTTTACAGTTGGTTTAGCTTTTTTAAGCATCCAGTCTCCCCATTTTCATCAGATCACAAGACTAGTTTAAGTTTCTAGTCTTAAGAATTTAGTCTTAAGAATCTAAATTCTTATTTTCAGTATTTTCTACTTGTTCTTTATCATTTCTATTTGGGCATTAAAAAATAAAAATATGATTAAATGCAGTTACTGCAAGATGTTTGGTGATATAAATCATAATTCGTTACGTAACATGTGTCCCGAAGAAGCTAAATTTAAATGTTTATATTCTTCAAGACTATTACTCATGATTGTGGGGCTATGATGGCACAGCCATATAGTTACCTTAGAAAGACTGCGAAGAGGTAATGTTTTTCTTAATTTCTAATCATCACTTTTATTGCTGTCACTTTATTATCAACCAAGATCGTGATAAGATTTGAAGAACATATATCAACCAGCCCTACGAAAAAACATGTCTCCAAAGTTAGGCTCCTTTGTCCCATTTGTAAACTCTTCTAAAAATCTTTTTAAGTTGCTTCGGAAATATTGGCTTCTTCCTTGCAGAGCGGCCTTTCAGGAAATGTCTTATTTTACCTTATAATAGTCCCCAAAGGTCATCCATAAGCAGTTTTTTTAGGCTTGTCTTCAAATACATACAGTTGTACCTCCATTAAGCTCTATGTTATAATTTAACCAATCAGAAGTTTGTATATCTATGGACTCTGCTTTAAAGTAATCTTTTTTTTTTTTTGTTGGGGTATGCAAAAGTCTTAAAGAAAGTAATACAAAAATATATATATTTTTTGGCATTTAGCAAATAAAATACATTTCTTATTCTGTCTAGTTTATGAAAAACTGGTTTCAACTGTACATTAAAGACGCCCATCATATTTAAGTTGATATCATTTTATAAACCTGTAAGATCTGAAATTGAGTTATATTTTAGAACCTGAAAAAAACAAACATTCCACTTATTTTTTTATTTGGCTTCTCAATGTAGAAACATGTTGGTTTCTTTATTCTTTTTGTTTTGTTTTTGCTGTCTGCTCGCACCAACTTTAACTCTTTGCATGGTTTGTGAGTCAGCATGCCTGCTTGTCTATGTAATGGAGAAAAAAAAAAAAGAAAATTGTATTTGCACAACAGAAGAAGAACGAACACTGGAGGACTTTCAAATGAAACCTCCCAGGAGTAGGCCGGGGAGGCTTTCTTAAACCTCCGCTGGTCAAATGATTTACAAAGACTTTGACGCTGAGAAATTTGATATTTTTAACACAATTCAGCACTTACGAACTGCGTTTTCTGGAGACGTGCTCTGCCAAACTTCTTCAATTTCACACCTTCAAGAAAGGACTCCCAAAGAATGTTCCTGTTTTCAAGTTTTTCTTTTTTTCCCCCTCCACAAATGACAGATATTGTTTGGAAAGCAGTTTGAGAAAACAAAGGGCATCGTCATTTGATTGTCACACCCACCTCGGCCAGTTCTTTATATAGACATATATATATAAACCACTGTGGCTCAAGAGTAAATCTTGGTTTACATGTAAATTGATGGAAAGAAATGTTATTTTTTGTTTGTCTCTATTGATGAAAAATGTTCTCTTTCTTTGGGACCTACGCTTTAGACATTTCATCTCTGACATCATCTATAGAATATATTTCTGAAAATTATGAACGTCTCCTGTGTTTTTTCTTCTTTTTGTTCAGTGTTCAGTTGTTCAGGTACCAAAAAAATGTGTGGTTGGGCAACACTTAGTTATTTCATGAATGCTAAAACATTGGTAAAGAGGTGTCTGAGCAGAATCAATTTAAAGAGATATGCTACCATTATCTTGTTCCCCCTGTTTAGCCCAAAGTCCACTTCTGACTTTACTTGGGACGACTCCAGTAGATCCTTAAGTTTCTGATCTTTTTTTTTTTTTGCATCTGATAACATGGGGGAAAAGAAAAAAACAAACTTTCCTGCACATGACAGTAATGGAGCCTCAGCTTAAAAAAAAAGCGACATTGGAGACTCAGAGAAATGTTTCTGAGTGGAAAATCTAATCACAAACCCCTGAATCACGAGTCTGCATGCAGGATTTAAGCAAAGAGCCATTGGTCAGGTGACATTCCCTCTGACATTTTACAGGGACACATTATATGGTCTTCAAAGATGATCTAAACTCTCAGAAAAAAAAATAATAATAACATTTTGCTTACTTTATGATTAAAAAAAAGTTGGTTTTACGAAAACTTACTATCACTTTTGAAGACCGTAGTTCCAAAATATTCCAACACAAAAGTTGAGTGTTTAAACAGTTTCGAAACAATTTCCAATTGCTTATTACACAGATTTCAGGAATATATGGTAAGCTATTTATTCACATAAACTCTTGTTTATTGACATTTCACATACCTCAGATACCATTGGCTTAATGGATATGGAAATATGTTTTGGTTTTTATGAATTTATTTAAGATCAATGTTTCAGTTATACTGATTTTTATCTTCCAAAAATAGATTATACTCTGGCTTAAATATTAGGACACAGACAAATAAGGTATGCTATCAAGCTTACTTTTGCAATGAAAACATGTCAACTTTGGTGTGTGAAGCTGCACAATCCTATCATTTTTTTTAAATAAACTAAGTTACACGTGGCCAGGATAAGCACCTTTGTGGGTGCAGATAAATCATACTGGAGATTTTATCTGCATGTTTAATACATAAGATTACTAGCGTAATGTGGGAAAGGTAACATTAGCTAAAATAATTCAATGATCCAAACAGGTCTAAATCAAATGTTAACAGAGTTATCAAACACCGAGGGCATGCTGGATTTGGAGGTATGGGTTGAAGGTACCTGGAATTTTAATACTATATATACAATTTTATCTTATATGTAAAACTAAACTTCATCCATAACCTAACCTGTTTTCTTTTTATTTGCAGTTATAACTACATACATTTCAGTTCTATTGAAGTCCTTTTTAAAATGTGCCCACTTTGTAAAGGTGCTTGTTTACGCAATGGCGTAACTATCAGTTAGCAGAGACTGCAGTTGCTTAGGGGCCCCATCACTGACACCTGGTTGGCCCCCTACGCAATTGTGGACTAGGATGTCTCTTTGCAGATGTAATGGGGCGAAAAATTCCTCTTATCCCACTGATACTGGGTTGATTGACCAGACCGTATTTATACCGCAACACATGCCAGATTCCAATATGATGGTGAGCCGTTTAAAAACGACACCAATAGCAAAGCAGACAGTGGTACTTTTAATCACTATCTTAATAACTGTGTAAAGTTCATTAGAGGGTTGGTAAAAAATACACTCATAATATTTTTCAAACCGCAATAAAGATCTTAAAATAACAACGTATTTGAGTATTTTATATTTTAAAATACGACTTGGAATTATGGGTAATCCAGCACCTAGATTAAAGCATAACCATTACGTACAACGTGTTATATTGGTGTGTTGTACTTCATATGGGGCCCACCCAGATAATTTTGCTTACGGGCCTATTGTTGTGGTGTTACGCCATTATGTTCATGGTAATATGATGTAAAACTAGAAAAATGCTTAAAAAATTTAGACGGGGCCTGCCACTTGGGCGTAATATTTGTATTTGCAACAAAGGCTTCATGAAGCTAGTTGGGTTCACCTTACATTGGTATATATCACCATACCAGGTGGCAAATTGCCTGTTCATGGCGACTGGCATCATGAAAGCGACTGGGGACTGGCTTCACAAAACCTGTTGACGACTAGCGTCGTCACACCCAGTTGGAGACTAAAGCAGCAACAGCTAGTGGCGACTGGAGTCTCCACAACTACTGGTGACTGGCGTTGACAGACCTGGTTGCGGCTGGGGTAATGATAAATATCTCTATAGTGCAATATATTACTTAGTATATTTTACAGGCTTTTGTTTTGTAGAGGTAATGTCTTATTTTGAAGGTCTAGCAGGACTGTGTCGTTAGCGGTCAGCCTCTAGAGAGATATGGAATCCATTTACAATTGTTGAATCTCTTTTTCCTTCTAAATAGGTTAGCCTATGCTTCATTACAGAGGAAATTAATGAGCTTTATTTAGAAATGTGCACTCAGGTGTGATGTCAACAGGCCTTGATAGTGTAACTTCAAGAGATTGTATGAGTTTGGGTTGTATCTATGAACCATATGCTGCAATGAACTGCTTTGTATAAGCAAGAGGCTTTTAATTTGTAGAGTCTATCATAGATGTGTGTCAAGGGAAGGGTCATGCCTAGCAGTGGTATATAATCCATTTCGAAATGTTAAATCACTGGTTTTCCCTGTTAATAGTTGAATAGATGCTTTATTAGACCTTAAATGGGAGACTTTTAAAATAAAGCATTTAGATAAAGGATTTAAAATTTCAATTATTCAGTTCAATTCAGTTTATTTCTATAGCGCCAATTCACAACACATGTCATCTCAAGGCACTTTACATTTCACCAGATCATGCAGTCAAATTAATTCAGAGTTTTCTATTTAAGAAAAAAAAAACAGTTGATTGCATCGACTCATTGACCCGAGTGCAATCCCTTACACTAAGAATGCTTCTAGCGACAGCTGAGAGGAAAAACTCACTTTTAACAGGAATAAACCTCCAGCAGAACCAGGTTCAGTGTGAGCAGCCATCTGCCGACTGGGGTTCAAGGAGACAGAAGCAGAGATAGAAAAAGTAGCTGTAAAAGGCCGCCTAGTCCAGGAAACACACAGAGGATGAAGAGATGAAGAGAGCACAGCCAGCCAGTCATAGTCAGAGAAACAGGACTACACTGAAAAAACAGGCCGATATCCAACATCTTTAAACAAGGGTGTTGATGGCAGCAGCACAGCTAAAATTTCTGTACAGGATGGTGTCACAGCCAAACAGAAACATTATGATTATATAATTATGACGATATACTATTTATGACAATACTTTAATAACAATAAACTAAACCACAAGGCAATTTTCAGTATATCAAGTGGAATTTGAAGTATTAAAAGAACGGAAATTGACAAAATGACAATATAATTGCAAAGTTGGTTTATTATCTGATAAGAAAGGGTACTAACCTATAATAATAGGATATACAATTTAACTGAACCTGGATGGGCAACATTTTATCGAATTAATTATAGAAAGCGGTTTAGTTTGATTGTGTGCTACGATGGCTTGCCATACAGGCATAGTAAACAATAACTTTGCGTGTATCAATGACTCTCCTAGCCGTCCAATCAGAAGCGGGCTCTTCCGTTCAGCATGCAAATACTGACCCCATATTTCCTCTCTGCCTACTGTCCCCAGTGCTGCAACTGTGCCATGCTCAAGCTGCAACATTAGCACTCTCTTTTTTTTCTCCCCCTTTTCTTCACCCTGTGGGGAGACCCCTTATATCTTCCGCGATCTTCTTCTTCAATTTGTTTTTAACCCATCTGCTCCGTGGTCCTTTTGTTTCTTTTTTTTTTAAAACATGCCTAACATCGTGCTTTTCAGCGGGAGCTCCCATCATGACCTGTCCCAAAAAGTGGCTGATCGGCTCGGGCTGGAGCTGGGGAAGGTGATCACCAAGAAGTTTAGCAACCAGGAGACATGGCGAGTACATCGCTCATTTAAACGTTTCGCTTTTGTTTTTATTCTTTTCTGCATGTTTTAAAACAAAACAAACAAAAAGAGCTATTGGTCTCATATGGTGCTCCATCATCGTTATCACGTGTGTAGCTTAGCTTTAAGCTAACATATAGCTTGATGTAAACACAGCAGGCTAACCGTGATGTTCCTTTTATCGGACAACGGTCAGTTTTTATATATTTTTATAATGGCTTCTGGTTTAAATGAACCAAAATGGCAGACTTCAAATCGTGTCTTTAGATTTCGCTACGTCGCTACATGCTGTTTTAAGAATTTGTGTCTTATTTTACAGTCCTGCTAAACTGATCAGTGTCGGCTAAGAAGCTAACATTTATAACTTATGACAACATTGTTAGGTGTTCTTCTATTTTGCCTGTCTGAAAAAAAAAACCATATATTTAATGTTTTGCTATCAAGGAACTAAAAGTAGGACATAAAAATACACGAGTCGTTTGCAAAAGATGTGTACGTGTGCTAGCATTGGTAAAATATTAATCTCCGCCAATGAATACTTTAATGTATCACTAAGTTAGTATTTGAAACATCCAAATAGATTCATGCATTTTTAAATAGATGTATTTTTTGTTTTTTATTTATATATATATATATATATATATATATATATAATAAAATTAATTAAATAATTATAAACTCGCAAAAAAAACAATTAAATCCAATTATTAATTTATAATTGTAAAGTTAGGTATGGAGATTTACATTAATCGTTCACTCTAATTTGGATTTGGGTTTTAAAAAAAGCATAAAAATTAGGTTTTGATTTTATTTATTATATAGTTCTGTTATATTGGTGGCTGTACATTAAAGAAATGCTTTACTGGAAAAACAAAAAAAGTTTTTTAATGCAATAAAATGAATGTCAAATAGATGTATATAATTATGCACTTGATTCAGTTACGCTTTCATATGATATTAAATATGAAAAATATTTCAATTCAATTAATATGCTTTATTTAATAAGGAAAATTCTATCAGCCCTTTTAGTATGAAGGGCCACAAGTATTCAACTTTAAAGTATGAAGGATTTGAAATAAATGTAATATTTTCACAAAAATAAAATTGTATGCATAATTGTCTTTTTTGCACCCATTACATGATCTGATACATTTATCTGTAATCTCAAAAATGTTTAAAAGATTTATTTAAATAGATTTGACTGTATTCAAATGTGGTCCAGTACCGTTAGAAGCAGCAGACTTTAAGGAAATAACCAGCAGAGCACAGTTTAAAAGGAGGCTGACTTGCAGAGCTCCCCGTAGTAACGTGATTAAAGCCAGTAGTGTTATCTCACAGCGTTGACATTCTGTCTGTCAGTGAGGTTAATTACTTTAACTCTGCCCTGGGTTGAATCACATGCACAAAATTTCTCATTTCTAAACTTTCCGGCCTCTGCAGACTTTAAATACTTACTGCCTGACTTCAAGCCAACTTATTTCCGCTCATGTTTGTTGCTTGAACCTGCCTGCTGGGAATAGTGACCTATTTGGGCCCGTAGAAGCTTCATCATGGCGGTGTTTTTCCACTTCTTTTTTTTTTTTTTTTTTAGATTACTGATTGATGTGTTAAAATGCTTGCCGTGTACCGGACTGCATGTTTTGTTTTATAATAAACTTTGAAGGAAAACAAATGCTGTATTAATCATGCAAGAATGGCCTAGTCAAAGTCCACACTTGAATCCAATTAGGAATCTATCTAAGTCAGTGTTTCCAGCAGCATGCAGGAATTTGTTCTGGTCTATCATGCATCACATCATGCGCTTCACTGTTTTATAATCTCTCTCGTCAAAAAAGGTCAGAGGTCTTAATGATGCCTGGACCTCTTTATCCTCCTCTTTTTTGTGTGTTTTAGCTCCTAATGTTTCCACAAACAACTCCAAAAATCCAGGGAAGGGAAAAAAAAAAAAACTCAGATTATCCAGGGCGCGTTTTCTCTCTAGGGAACTGATCTGTTTGTTTGACACAAAGTGCAAAAACAAAGATTATGCTCTGATCTTCTCACAGTGAGAGGGGAGGTAAAGCGGGACGCCGCTATGCATTCGGCAGCCCTGCAATGCAGCTGGAGCTCCGGTTTTACCAGATGACCACGGAGGTCAAGGACCAAAGCGGAGGGAGGGAGTTCCTGGGAAGGATTCCTCCCAATTTTACTCAGTGTTTGCTTTCCACAGTTGGAATTTGAACGAAAGCCTTTTTGGTTGTTTTACATTCAAAAGAGCTGGAAAAATAAGGAAACAAAGGGCTCACATCTCAGAGATTACCTGTTTGCTCACCTACTGTTCCATCATGACTATTTTTATAAATGTCCGTCATCGTATCTTAATCTTTTTGCAAACAGGATCTTTTTTTGAGGATTATTCAGACATCTTTTTTTTTTCGGTGCATCTCAGTCATGTGACTGAGGAACTGGTTATCCCCCTCCCTCCATGCACATGAATATGTCACACGCATGCATGCTGCACTGAAACTAATCTTTCCCGACTGTGTAAAAACTGCAAAAAAATAGATGGTTTTTATTTTCATTCTTCAAACGACCCCATCGTGCTGTTAAAAAGGACTTTACTTTCATTATTGGCTTGAAAAGTGAGTGTTTAGCAGTACATGATAAAGTTAGAGCTACATGATGTTAGAAAAACTCAGCAGTGGTGATATTTGTGAAGGGATGAGATCTGCACCAGTGTGATCATGACCATGCAGGTTCACAACACTTTAAATATATTAGGCAATAATTTTCCTCCCCCCTTTAGATGATGATACATTGTGCTACATTAGTTGGCTCAAATCTGAATCTTAAACACAGAGTAATCTTTGTTTTCTTTTTCTTAATGTTGGGGCTATGCTTTCCAGCGCACTGTAGATGGAGAAACAATTGATTGTACACGAAATGTGTGGCATACATTTGTGAGCCTCCTCTATTCTGATGCCCCCTGAATATAACTTTTTAAGTGTGTCTATCCAACTTTGTGAGAGCTAGATTTAGCCGAGTTCGTCTCATGATATGGAGGACCAGGAGGGTCAGTGAAAAAAGGAAAAACAGCCATTTCAAATGCAGAAATCCCAAGTTCTAAAAACTCATTTCAGGGAGATGCTTATCAAACCCACCAACCTGTCGTTGTGCCTGCGCAATCGAAGTAGTACTAATCTGCACCTGATGCACAGATTATTGTATTGCCTGCACGCTCTGACTCGCATTAAAACACCACCTCACATAGTTTAAAATCCGGGATAATTTATCAGACTCGAGGGCATCTGTGAACAACTATCCATATCAGGCATATGTTGCTTTTAAATTATAGAATTAGAAAACCAATTTGAAAAGTGTTTTCTAATTGCACATTTTAAATTAAATTTTTAAAGAGGAATTATAAATGTTATTTATTAATCCCTTATTAAATACTGCAATTTAATATATTATATTTTCAAACTGTATTTCTAAGTAAAATAAAAAACACAGTTTATAAATGTTATAATAAACGGCCATCCAAATCCCATATTTAGAAAGGTAACTTTCTTTTTATTTTAACCTCTCCATTTACACTAAAAGCTAGCTAAATCAGTGAAGTTGCTCCTCAGATGTAACCAGCTCTCTCATTGGTCAAACTGCCTATTCGTGTTTACCTGATGACCAATGAGAGAGCTGGTTATCTCTGTGAAGCAACTGTGATTGGTTTAGCTGGTTTTCAGCGAGCTCAGGAACCAGAAGGGTAGGAGACAACAGTAAAAAGAACATGGAGTTACCTTTTTTAAACATGTGATTAAGGAAGGTATTAATAGTCAGATTTATAAATTATTTTTTTAAATCTCCATGTAGAATTAGGGTTTTAAAATTCTTGTTTAAATTGCAGTATTTCATAAAGAAAATGTACAGTTAGGAATTAATTTTCATATTTTATTCCTAATTGTATGATTTACTGTATTTCCTAGACTATAGAGCATACCTCACTATACATTGCAGCCCCTAAATTTTTTGAAAAAACCGTGAACGTACATATTAAGCCGCACCGGGCTATAAGCCGCTGATATCTACTGAACTGTCTTCCACCAAACCTGTAGGGGGAGCTCTACATCCTGGAGCAGGGATGGAGAAGAATGCTAGCTCCCGTTAGCTTGTTGGTTTGCAGCAGTACGAGCTTCTAATCAAAGATGTGGCTTCATCAGCTCTTTATTTCAGCTCTGCTGGAGTTGAGCCCAGTCTCTTCATTAGTTTAGCAGCTTTAATGCGGCAAATGAATGTCAAAATGTGTGAATTTGGGACATTTGTTCTCCGCTGTGACTGCTGCTAGCATGTTCTTGTGCTAGATGAAAGTTAGCCCTTTATTTTTTCATTTCCAACTTTGACTTCCCCCTCTTGCGGTTAGCAAAAAATGTAAAGAAAAGCCACACCTTCTTATAAGCCGCATGGTTCAAATCGTGGCAAAAAAGTAGCGACTTATAGTCTGGAAAATACGGTAAATGTTAAATTTGAAATGGCCAATTTTGGGTAGTGTTGCACCGATACCAGTATCAGGCGGGGCCCCGATCCAGCACTAAAATGGTGGTATCGGTATCGGCGAGTACCAACAAATAGGGCACCGATACAATTTTTAGAGCCAAAGTTTTTTCAACTATTGTCATCCATTCCAGGTAGGCAATAAAAAGTTCTACTGGATTCACTTTGTATTTGTATTTTTCCTGCTTCACAAAGGTAGGCAGCATCTTGACAAAACCATGATGACAATTATTTATTCGGAGCCGAAAAATGGCATCGGTGCAACACTAATTTTGGGGTTGTTTTTTTCTGTGACTCTCCTGGTCTTCCATATCCTGGTGGGCTCATTGTTAACACTCTATCCTTACTAGAGGTTTTTCTCTGTGGATTTAAATGTTCTCTATACCTGCATGTATTTTTTTCTGGATACTCTGGTCTCCTTCCGTGGTGCAAAATGATCCTCGGTTAGATGGTTTCTCTAAACTGCAGGTGAAAGGGAAGCCCCTCCTTCTTAAATTGGAGATTAATGGAATTAATCCACGACAACCTCTGAAGAAAATAATGGGATCTTGCAGCAGGACAACCTTAAACATTAAACTGCAGTTAAACAGTTGCAGTTTAGACTGTTTTGTATTGATTTTGGGGGGGAAATATGGTCAAAGTCCTGATCAAAACCAAGAGCAGAAGTTTTGAGGTTATGCTTTGTGTATTTTACTTAAATTCATCATCTTATGGAGTATTTTGTCTCCTATTCCTCAACAGTGTGGAGATCGGGGAGAGCGTGCGCGGCGAGGACGTGTACATCATACAGAGCGGCTGCGGCGAAATCAACGACAATCTAATGGAGCTGTTGATCATGATAAACGCCTGCAAGATAGCCTCCTCGTCCCGCGTAACAGCCGTCATCCCCTGCTTCCCGTATGCCCGGCAGGACAAGAAAGACAAGGTGGGGAGAGGAATAGCATGTCACAACAGCTCCCGATCCTAGAGGGCTGAGTCATTTCCCTCCAGCTCTGCTGGTTGTTTTAAAAAAAAAAAGAGGAGAAAAAAAGCTGCATATGCATGTAGCTAAAGATGGAGACATGCTGCATTGTGGCGTCAGTCCATCGTTTTACCAATGGGAAGAAGAAAAAAGGGATTTTATGCAAACACTTCTTTTTTTTTATTTTTATTTTTTTTCAACTGCTTGCCTCCTGATATTCATGTTTTCTGATTCATCTCAGAGTCGAGCACCGATTTCTGCCAAACTGGTTGCTAACATGCTGTCCGTGGCGGGCGCTGATCACATCATCACCATGGACCTCCACGCCTCGCAGATCCAGGTCTGGTAGCCATAGCTAGCAGCTTTAACTGTGAACTTTATTCACTGGGTTAAAAAAATAAAAAAGACTTCAACTTCTCTTTTAATATTTAGGAAGAACACTGTGTTTAATGTTTTAATTTATTCAGCTCTAAACTCCAGATTTTTAGAAGGATGTCTGGGAACAGAGAAGCGTTTTTATGATTTCTAACTATTTTTGACAATTTTAAATAATCAAAACCCAATCATAATCAAATTTTAGTTTTCCTCTAGCCAACAGCATTATATATTCTCTACCATAAGTTTTCCATAAATATATGACGTGTCATTATCGAATAAAAAAAAAACGATTAAATGCACTTTATTTTAAGGATTATCGAAATTTAATGCTTATAGGTGCGTGTCACAAATAAAACAACAATAGTGATATTAGTGAGTCAGTTGATTGTTAATTTTTGTTTTTTAAATTACCAAACTAACTGACCCAATTAGTTTCTTGGATATTTTCACTACTGCTTCCTCTATAGCTTGTTAGAAAATATGGGCAGACGCTTATTTGAGGGTGTATCTATAAACAATTAATTTAAAAAATACGGAAGCCCATTAGTGACAAAATCTGACATACATTTAGCTTGAATAAACTTTTGTTTTCAAAATAATTTAAATTTTAAGTTAAAGGAATAGTACACCCAAAACATGATTAGCCTTCATTTTCTACTCACCCCCATGCTGAACAACACTCTGGAGTACTTTTTTGATATCTCAAATGCATCTGGAGATCTGGGAGGCTTCTTGCTGTC